AAAGTGAAATATTTCAATTGCTAAATTTTTAATTGTATTAATCAAAGAAAAAATTTTAAATATCAAATAATTTAAAATTGAACAAAATATGTTTATATTTAATAACAAACTATGTAGTGAGAAAAATAGAGAGTTTTGATTATTAGTTTTAATTTTATAGTAATTTATTTAATTAATATTAATTGATAAAAATTTAATATTTTAAATATTACATCATAAAAAGGTATTATAAATATTATAAGAATTCTTGATATACTTATAAGTTTTAATTTTATAGTAATTTATTTAATTAATATTAATTGATAAAAATTTAATATTTTAAATATTACATCATAAAAAGGTATTATAAACATTATTGGCCTGTTTGGTAACGTGAATTTGAAATAATGTATTTGAATTTGGGAGGTTGAAATTTAATATCATTGTTTGTTTTTACCTAAATAAAATGTAATTGAATTTACAGAAAATACATGCATTTCAACAGAGTATTTTCAAAGGTTTAAACCCATGTATTTCAATTTCACTCTCAAACCTATGAATTTCAATTTTGAAATGAATTTCCTCTCCACTCTCTCCTCTCATCGACGGCGATGAGGCCACTCAAACCTGTCCTTGATAGCAGGTTTTTTGTGCGAGGAGGATTTTAGTTTTGCTCGGATTTTGGGGTTTCGTTTGCTTTAGGCAGTTTTCCTGCAGATTCATCGAGTCTTGGCGGCGAGAAGGGGAACATACACAAAGGGATGATGATGGCGGTGACCGAGTTTTTGGCCATGGAAGTTTTCGATCTGATGGTGGAAGCGGTGGGGGTCGAGGAAAAAGAGTGATGTATCTTAGCTTACCAATCAGTTTTGCTTTGGACTGTGAGGCGGCATGGCTATCTTGCCCTGTCAACGATGGGTGAGGAGGAAGGGGTTTGGTTGGCTTCGGGAGGAATTGGGAATTGTTTTGTCAATGATGGCTAAGGGGTGGCTGATGGCGGTGACGGCTCTTTCCCGGTAGGGGCTTGCGTTTCTCGGTGAGATTGCTTGAATCGGATTTTTCGGTGATTGGATGGAATTGAGATTTTGAGGGTATTATACTTTCCAAAAAAATCAGGATTTGCTCCATTTGAATTTAAATTGAATTTCTGTTACTTCTCATGCCAGATGGCATCAATAACTGGGTAGGAAATTTTGGAATTAATAGTGCTAAAGATTACATTTTCATAATGAAGCGACATAGGGATAAGTTTTTTTATAATTTTTGTTATAATTTTTGTATATTAATTATATTAATTTGTATCCATATCAATTTTTTAAAAAAATAAAGTTATAATTTTATAAGATTAATTCTATCTCAACTTTCAAACTCAACTCAATGGTTTACTTGGAAATCTTCAACAAAGAATGTTATATTTATATTTCATTTTGCAATTAATGAGTGTTACTTCAACTACTTGTTAATGAATATAATTGTTAGAAGTCTTCAATGAAAAATGTTATATTTCTATTTCGTTTTGCAATTAAGAAGTGTTACCTCAATTATTTTGTTAAT